AATCAATTCACTTTTATTGAACCGGAAATTGTGAACCAAAGCTTGTATCAACCTACACCACCACTGTGTCGCTCCACACAAGACCAAAAACCCAAAAACTTGGTTTGCGAATGTTACAGTTCTTGTTCTTTTATATTTTGGACATCATCTTTGTTATACAAAATTACTATAGTTTCATGCCTAATAAGTTTTACATTACATATACGCTTAACTCAAACACATTTGGTTTTTACATGTTCGTTGTATCTAATCAAAGATTCTAAAAACCATTTTTTAATATTTACCGTTGGAAGAAAAAAAAAGTTGTACTATTTTGAGGTGTATATTTGAGATATGGCCAAGGAAAATATTACTCGCTGCATAATGAAATTGTAAACTTGAAATGGTGTATTTTACTTTATTTTTTTGCGCGCAATGGGAGAGTCTAGAAAGCGTGTATTTATAAATGAAACAATTTGAATAAACAAAGAAAATAAATAAAATGCATTGCTTGAAGCGTCTTTTTTTTTTCCTCCAAACCCATTAAACATAAGAACACACTGACATCAAATTTTTAAAACTTTTTCTGTCTATCTTACTAAAGAATGATGTCCGATTAAAACTGGCTTATCGAAGAAAAAAGTGTGATAACTGAGACTTGTAGTAGCATCCTCTTCATCCCGATCTCTACTCTTACTCTTCGTGTGCCTCTCATATTACAAAACAACGAGATCCACGATGTTTGACATTCAACGGCAGAAGCATCGCAAATAACAAACACATTTTATTTGAGTGGTTTACATTCTGGATGACTTTTTGAAGATTTGAAGATTATGAATTCACCCCTAATGAAACAGAGGGTGAAAAAAAACTGAAGTTTTAACTGTGTCGGACTTATGTCGCCTCCGGCATCCAGAACGGAATATAAACCGGAATTTACGGTGCCGGAAATAACTTGCTGGAAGTCTGATTTATCTGTATCGCCGGAAATATGAAACCTTTTCCTGGATACTCATTAATGTCGAAATCGATCCATTAAAGACTTTCGGCTCAGATCTCATCGTCGGGGTTCAGATCTCATCGTCGGGGCTCAGATATAGTTTACAGATTCGTTGGATTTCGTGAACGATTACGGGTTTTAGTTACTGATATGAAATTCTCGGTTTTTGTATCACACGTTTTGAGAATTTGTTATTCTGACAGAAACAAAGATCTGTGAACGGGTTGGATCATTCAGTGTGTACAATAAATGTTGTACGCTTTTGCAATTGTTAATTTGTTTACCTCGTTGTTGGTATTTGTTATTACACGTCCATCATTTTCACACAAAGTCCCTTTAAGTGTAAAGAGAAAGTAGAAAAGTCCATCTGAATGTTATTTTCTCCTTTTTATTTAGGTCTTGATTGGTAGAGCATTTAGAAGAGCATTAAGCTCTTTCTAATCCAATCAAGTTTTTTTAAAAGAGCACTTAGTAGAACATTTAGAAACTGCTTATGCTCCCAAACTGCTCATTCCCTCCCTGAAATTGAGCATTTCCAAAACATTAAACTCAATAATATTTAAAAAATCTTAAATAAATTATAGGTAATTTATTTATTTTGGTAAAAAATGAAAACTATATTTATATTAAATTTACAATTTTATAATTTCGTAATTATGTTTATCATTAATGTATTATTCATAAAATAAATATTTAATGTCATAAAAATTTAATAAATATAATTTAAATATGAAATAATTACTAAATATTTTAAAAAAAATCTTATATTATTAATGAATATATATATATATGATGCATTAAAATAAATATCAATATACATATTAAATATTTTCACAAAAAATTATAATAAAAAGATTCACAACTCTACCAATCATATATATTTTTTTTAACATACAACTTACCTAATGCTCTTCTAATTGCTTTGCCAATCAAGGCCTTACTTTCTGAATTCTGATGACATTATACTTAACTTAAAACACCAATCAATTGTTTTCTCTCAACTCAGGGAATGTCAAAGAGTAACAGAGAGCTTACGATCGTGCTTCTTAAAAAGAGGGAACAAATTCCACAACCCCCACACATCATTCTGCATAGACGAGACCATGCACAAATTGATTAAATTTCTCAAAAATTGAAAACATGACCAGTTAGAGGCTAATGCTTAGAGTTGCATTATCATATAACCTTATTTTTAAGAGCAACCTTTGTTTATAAAAAATAATACTTCTACACAAAATGGTAGGATAATCATAACTTTGGTTTCAGCTTCCTACAAAATCTATGAAACTCCATGATTCTCAATATATACAGTAAGAGTTGGATCATGGACACACCTTTGACACCACAAGCTCCAAGATTCTCAATACAGTAAGAATCGAAGTTCGGAAAAAAAGAAATTAGGCACTTCCACTCTGATGTATGCTTCGATGGATCTCCATCATACTACTACTCATAAAATATGCTCAGAACAATTAATCCATACTCATCAAATTTACCAAGTTAATAAGGTCAAAACAACCTCCATCGTTAACTGGCGGGTGAGTCATATGCGCGAGGACTTCATGTCTTTGGTTCAGCCTGGTTAACAATAAAAATTACAGAAAGTACATTAGAAACTGAAAAGCAAACCATTGTTAATCAAGAGTTCTTTTTGATAATATAATCTTTTTCTGAGGCACATAAAAATCGAACCTGATGCAGCAATAAAAAAGTTTATATAAGCTCACCAAGCATCCCGGATCCAAGTTTCTCCTTGACATGACTCCAAACAAAATTGTACCCTGAGAAGAAATTAAACAAAAAGAGAAAAAAAAGGAAACATATGTAACAATTTCAAAACAAAAAAACTTGAAAGATCGTATTATTCGCCTACCATGCAGTGGTGAATCTAGAAATTATATTCAGCGAGGGCAAAAGTAAATATAACAAAATATTTAAGGGAACTTGTATATAAACGGTATTAATGAAGGTAACTAATTAAATATGGGCTCATAAATAAAGTGAAATAATTTTAATTTGTAGAACTTTGGGCTTGAAATGTCAAATTGTACACAAATTATGCTAGTGGACAGAAGTCATTACCCACGAGAAAAGTTAATATACTGATGATTGAGTATATTGTATCCTTTCACAAATAAATCACACCAACCGTGTGATTACAAACGAAGCAACTTTACAAAGCTACCATTTTACTAAAGAATTCCTTTCTTTCCGTAGTGTGCACATAGTATCTCCATTTTACTAAGCTACCCGCAGATTAAAGATATGAAGATGGATTGATAAAGAGAAGGATGAAGACGTTCACGTAAGAGAAAGAGCTAGCACTAAACATCACTATCAAGTTAACAGTTTAAGTACCTTCGTTGTTGGTCCATGCATATAGGTCAGACTGCTTCCTATTTCTCCCGTTACTTCTTCCTATTAACTACATGTAACTACCGTTATGGAATTCGGAACCTGAATACATGTCAACTATATGCATGTATAACGCTGCAGTGCCTAGAAGTCCATGACTCATGGTTCATGAGAACATAAAAGAATTAGATATACATTGACAGTCAACTTTGAAACAAAAAACAGATCATGACTCATGATTCATGAGATAATTCTAGGCTGTAAGATGACCGAACAAAGACAAATAATAAAAAAAGAATCAGAATCATACCATTTTATCATCCTCATGTCTATAACCAATTATGACTGCTCAAGCAAAAGCTGAAAGAGTTTTAGCCATGTCAGTAACATGATTAGTAAATGCATTATTAATTGTGTACACATTACCTTCATTGACCAAATTTTATTGGTTTCAAGCAGCATTTGTTTTTTTTGCTTCCAAGATCAGGGAGCTGGTGAAGTTTGTGTTGTATCTGCAACAAAATCTGCACACGACCATAAATTAAACAAAAATAAGTGGTAGACAAATCATTTTGGGCGAAGCCCATATATTAAAAATGAGATCTTGCCGATATACTCTTCCATGATACTATCAAAACACATCAAATCAAAACCTAATACAGAAAAACAGAAGATAAAGCCAATACCTCTATAAACATACCACTCGTGAAGTCGCTTATGTAATTGAATTTGAAGCTGTAAAGCCTCCATAATATCTACCAGCAGAATAAGTACGAAAGGTGTTACACTTTTGTTAGCTTTTCCGGGAGAAACATCATAAAAGAATATTAATAGAAACCACTTTGTATGTAGCTTCTAATGGTTGTGGCCTATATCTAGCTTTACTATGTATATGTAGCTTATAAAAGAAACACCATCTTTATTTTGTAGACAAATCTCTGCATTAAGCACCAGGACTGAAAACTTGGATGAAAATAATTCATAATACTAACCTCGAAATGGCTTTTGACATGATATCCATTGTCAAGCCTTTAACTTTCATAACCTCATGAGTCATGACACCTCTAGGCGTAGCTCCTGGGTAAAAAATAGGAACGAAAGGAAAGAGATATCAACTTTCCTATGCATATTGATTTCAGTGTCCAATAAAACAGTATGAGAATGCCATTTCGAAAAGAGAAGAACAAACGAAATATCTAGATGTGAGGAATCTATCTGTGAGAAGCAACTTAGAGATATAATATACAATGAGGACTTGATGTTGGAAAACCCTAGAAATTCGAATAGAGACATACCAGAAGACAAGACGATTCTAACAGTGAGCACATCTCACAATTCAGAAATCCGAAATCCGAAACCCAAACTCCTTCTTCTTCCTCTCAACAGCGAAAGTCATATTTTGAGCAGGAAAACTCAAAATGGATTATGAAGTGGTGAAATATCTGAAGGTAGAGAGAAGACGAAAAGATTTAGGAAATTAATTAAAGTCATTGATGTCTTCTAAACCGAACGGAGACGGAAAAGGTGAAAAGGCGTTAACAAAACATTTGAGAATTAAATCGCAAATTAGACGAAACCATAGGTTAGTAGCTTGTACACGTATTTCTCACCAGTGGCTCTTCGGAGGGACGGTCTGAGATGGTGGAGATTGGAGATAAATTTTGTTTCACGGCGTGAAGTAAACGCCGTAGTGGATCTCGCGAGGGCCGAGATATGTGGATGGTGGCAGTGGGTGGACTCTCCATTTAGCAGCGCCTGCCTTGCCGCAACGTTCTTCAGTGGCGGAGCCTTCATCGTCGGGGCGAATCAAGTAGTTCGCATGGTGGTTTCGCCTATGATGGTGGTGGTCCGGTGATCCGGAATCCAGCTTCGTTTTGACTGGTCGGAGAGCGAGTGCAGGACGGCTGAGACGACAACGGTCGTGGTGAGTGGAGGAGGCAGCATCGGCTGCGAGGCGACGGAGATTGAGGCGGCGAGGCGGCGTTAGGGCTTCGAGTCTGCGTGAAGGAAGAGTTAATTTTGGGTTTGTTTTGCAAAAATGTAATTGTATAAGGACTCTGAAACAATTTTTTTAAATGATTAAAGATGCTGCCACGTGTCTTTTTATTGGAATGAGTATATTTGATAGGTGTCACTCAACTGAAGAGTGATATCCTCTCATTATATATAAGATTCTCAAGGTTTTAATGTTAATTTGTGAAAAGGGGAAGAAGATAAAAGAAAGAAGCTTCTCTTGAGTCCAATCTGTTTCTCTTGAGAACAAGGAAGTTAGACTTTTAGTTTAAATATTTTGGAATTCATGATTGGTAAAGGAGAGAGAAATCGTTAAGTTGAGGAAAAAGAAAAAGAAGATATTATTCTTAAAGATGAGAAAAATCCGAAAAAATTGATGTTATGCCATAAACTACGAAAAACGATGTTGTCGTGCCATCTTCTAATAATGAATTTCTTTTCGTTTTATTTTAATAAGGAAAACGATTAAATGCCTATTTTGCCAACGAAAATCATCGTAATTACCGACCCAACCAGGGTTTTATCCATCCGCATAGAAAGAACCCGACCCGAACCGTCCATAACCCTAATTTTGAGAAAGTTACTATCGAAAAGCAGAAGTAAAAATTTTAAATCTGTTTTTCGATCTTTACTCTTCGAAATCGCAACGGGATTTCAACGGGATTGGAGAAATTGAAGCGAGTTCGTCGAATCTCAATCTCGACCCCAAAATCTCGGCAAAATCGAAAATCGAATCGCGTTCGTTCTTCTCTCTCTCTCTTCCGGTAAGCGAAAACCCGGATGATTTTCGAATAGAGTATGGTTCCATCTTCTCTCCATCTTTCTAACGCCGGCGGTTTT